AGCCCCCCAGAGCGGACCCCCTGGGCCCCGCGGTCCCTCCGCCTCAGCCCTCCGAGGAGCCGGCGCCAGGGGCACGCGGGACCACGCCTGGCTGATCTCCGGTTTACTGTAGTGACGAGTCTCGCCGCGCTGCCCGCGGGGGCCTCGAACCCGCGGGCTCGGCCATACGCTGGCCTCGGCCTCCCCGAGGGCTGGGACGACAGGCTGGGCCGCCGAGCCCGGCCGTCCAGTGAGATTTAAAGTGTCCCTTAACCCCTTGCACATGCTTCAAACAGCGTATGATGCTTCTCGAATGCTGGGGTTCGTAATGCCCCAACCAACACCCTCTCGAGATTTTCTTTCTGGAAGTTAAGTGGCATGCGCTTTTGCTATAAAAGCAAGACGCTTTGTAGAACAGTTGGGAAGTGTCCAGAATACAGAGAAGAAAATAGATATTGCTTGTAATTCTACCACCTAGAGGTGACTGCTGCTATAACATTCAAGGTGGCAGTGTTTCCGCTTTCTTTCCCTGTGCAGATATTCGGATACACACGCGTGTATGTGTGTGTGTGTAACACAATTTGGATCAGACAGCACAGGTGGTTTTGCGACTCATTTTTTAATGGCACCACCAAATAAGTTAATATTTGTTTTTAACAACCACAATTTATTCACAAATTCCTTGTTATCTAATATATAGAGCAAAATCATTTAAAATCATCTTTTGAAGAGATTTGACTTTAAAAGGTAAAAAAAAAAAAATTAGGGTCTTGGAACTGCGGAGCCAGAAGGAATTAGGAAGATGATGTATTCTAACTCTCAAATTTCGAAACTGGGAACCAGAGTCACCGAGAAGGAAGATACTTGCCCAAGGTCACACAAGGACGTACTGAGAGGACAGGGCTCTGGGTCTCTTCACACAAGCAAAAGTCAAGTACAGTAATATAAAAATATGTGTATATTTGCTCTTTTATGTAACTATATTATATACTGTGGGCATTACTATATATTATGGTTATAGAACTGTTATATAGCTGTATATAAGTGTATATGAATTATATGTAATACATAACTATATGTGGATATAGAACTAAACAATTATAGAGTTGTTTATATAGATAGACTACATATGCACTTTTATGTTATTGTCTCTATTATAGAAATACTTCGATGTGTGTGTGTGTGTGTGTGTGTGTGTGTGTACTATAGTTCCCTAACTTACAGTGAGTGATATAAAGGTTGCACTCTAAAAGTTGAATTCTAGGAGAGCATTTGCCCACTTCTGAGGATGGTGACATGCAGTACAAGAAAGTACGGTGCATGTCGTAGCATCCCAAAAGGCCCCAGGGACCTAGACTGGGCTGGCTGTCAGGAGGGCCGACAGAGAGGCTTCTGTGATCAGGTACGTTCCCGTGGGCATCCCAGCGATCCGTACCTCTTCCCACAGGAGCCATGTGTGAGATACCTGCCCCGGCTGTACCTGGATATACACGTAAGGGAGCTCTGCCTGCCTGGGGGAGCCGTGGGGTGGGGTGACACGGGTCCAAACTTCTGCTGCTGGCTGCCTGGCGCGGGGGGAGAGAGGGTCCATGCAGCCCAGCTCCTGTCCCGCTGGCTACTGGCATCTCCCACAAGCTCCCTCCCTGTTGTCTGCTCCCAGAATTACTGCGTGCTGGCCAAGCTGCGGGACTTTGTGGCCTCGCCCCAGTGTTGGAAAGTGACTCCGGTCGATGACGTGAAGGACAAAGGGCGGAAGCTGTACACCATCATGAACTCGTTCTGCAGGAGAGTAAGTGGACACCACTGGCCACCCGCCTCCGGTCGCCGTCAGCCAGGATTTCCTGAGCTTTTCAAAGAGGAGGGCAAGGGAGGCAGGGGAACAAGGAAAGGGAACGGACGTGTCTGGGAGATGCTTCCGGTTCACGAAACCTTCTGCCACCACAGTCGCCTTGTTAAGTGATGAGATCCGGGATAAGGCCCCTTGCCCTCAGGATCTGCACTCAGGTGTGAGGGCTAACCCAGAGCCTGGCCACATTGGCAGATGCTGCCGGGAGCCAGGTGGGGGAGGTCAGGAAGAGGGGGCTTCGGGTGTGCGCCGTGATCGGGGGCTTCTGGTAGGAGAGGGAACAGGGACGGAAAACCGTCGGTGAGGGAGACACGGACAGCAAAGCCATGCGACCCCGGGCCTGACCTCGGCGTCAGCTAGCCCCGAGCTTGTGTCTTTGTCCCCCCTGCTTCCCCTGTGGCAGTGCCTGCCTCCGTCTGCTTTCTGTTGCTGTAATGCAAACTACAAACTGGATCACTTACTGAAAAAGCAAAAAGAAGCTTATCCAGCTCGTGGCTCGGGAGGCTGTGGCATCCGAGAGCTGGGCGCTGGCAGGGCCCTCTGGCTCCGTCGTGACACGGGAGAGGCCTCACGTCGCCAGAGCGCAAGAGCCAGCGGGCCAGGCGGAGCTCGCTTTGCAGCAGAGCCACGCCCGTGGCAGCAAAGAGCCCGAGATAGCCATAATCACACACCCTTATCTTGTGTGGGCAACGTGGCCAGTCCCTCGATCCTGTGAAGCCTGGCAGGGTGGCCAAACGTAGAATTCCCAGCATCATGCCTGGCCCAGAGTAAGCTCCTCCGGGAACTTTAATAATTAGCTATTATAATTTTTTTGTTCATGTATCGAAGATTTGTGATCTGCCCCCCACACACACTCAGTTTCTTCTTCCTCCCTCCTCCCTCTTGGATTGTGATGAAAGATAGGAGTCTGATAAAATTGCGGCACAGTCTGATGATGGTGGTATTGACCCTGAAGTGTGAGAAGGTGGGAGCTGGCGCTGTTCTTTATGACATTCCCGATGCCTGGCCTAGAGTTGTGGCTCAGCAATGGAAGTTCATTCGTTCATTCATTCCCTCCCCCGTGCGTCTGTCCATCCATCCGGTCAACCAATGCATGCGTGAGTTTGACAAGTAATACTAATAATACACAACAATAATAGTACATGAGGAAATAATAAAAATAATGAGATCCTATGGGAATGTGAAGAAAGAAGTGACTAGTTCTCCTTGGAAGAGTAAGGGATGGATGGAACGTTTTCACACCAAGGGGAGCAATTGAACTGCCTCTGTCTTTGAAGAGAACCAAGAGTACTGTAGTGGCACGTGGGCTCTGTGGCCGCCTTTAGTAACTTCCCTCTTTGTTGCGCTTCTTTTTCAGGATTTGGTCTTCCTGTCGGATGACTGCAATGCCTTGGAATACCCAATCCCAGTGACCACGGTCCCGCCAGATCATCAGAGCTAAGGCAGCCCAGACCAGAGAAAGACCCCAGTGGGCTAAAGCCGCACCCCCACAGATCTCTGTGTCACTGGAGCATCTGAAGCTGTCACATGTCCCTCCAGCTGGAAGGCGGGTCTAGTACTCCTACCCGGGAGCCTCCTTGAGCATAGAATTAGAAGCTGTGCTTCTCATTCCTTTCAGTTATGCCTTGCCGAGACCGTTAGATACACAAGCATGTTGATTTGGTCCCTAGGAAGAAAGGGGCTGACCAACTTCTCTTTGATGAGAAACTAGCTTGAGAGCAAGCCAAACTGGGTGTTTTTATTACTGGCTTCTTGGAGTAATGGAGCTGGCTTTCTTTCTTGATAGGAACCTCCTTATGCGTACCAACCTTCTATTATAACTTCTCCTGATACAAAGTTCCCTCTTCCTTCCATTAAAAAAAATACCGCTTTTAAGATGTCTTTGCAAGGTTTTTACGTAGTGCTGACAGAAACCATTCTTTCATAGAAAGGTGATGAAAATCGAATAAAGGATATCTTCACCGCAAGAAACACATGTCCTGCTATGTCTGTCCAAAATAGGTGTCGGGGTTTATTTCACACTTTTCCTGAAGTCTCCTACTCTAAGCACGGTGCATCTTTCTCCTTCTTTCTGCCAAGCTCAGGTGTCTCTGGGTCTGCTTCACCCACCTGCGTGAACGTTTGCTCTTACAGTGCTGGGAGATGCTCTGACTTTTGTTGGGGACAGCTTGTTCCTTTGGGGCTTGTATGTTGAGAACAGATTTCTTCATGCCCACAGGCAGTGCAGTATCCTGTACTTATCGCAGATCGCGATTCACTGACGCCACGCGGCAAACCCAGAGATGGGCGTGGTAGGACGCTGAGGCTCAGGACGGTTAAGCGACTTGCCTGAGGCCACTGCCTGGTCCCTGGGGAAGCCTGGGTTGAACTTGAGCCTGTGTGACTCCAAAGCCATGCTCTTCCGAGAGCACCCATGTGGCTTCCTCCAGGTGAAACTTGCTTATTTGATTAACTTATGAAACCAAAAGTACAATCTCAGTTAGTAAAAGGTTGTTGAAAAAATATCTCAGATGTTGATTTTGCCAAGTTCCACGTTTTCTTGGTGTCTTTTTGCTTACGTTCCTCCCTTCTGTGTATGGAGGCCAAGCTTCTCTCCTCTGGTCTTAGATGCTTCTGGCTTCTCAGCTGATTTATGAGGACGGTTCATTAAGTTTTGATTTTCTATTTAGAAGCACAGGTCTACAGAGTCATTCTTTTTTCTTTTTTTGAGTCGGAATCTCACTCTGTCGCCCAGACTGGAGTGCAGTGGCCGCTCCCGGCCACCGCAGCCTCGACCCCCCGGGCTCCGGTGATCCTTCCGCCTCAGTCTTCCGAGTCGCTGGAACTACAGGTGCGCGCTACCACGCCCGGCTGATTTTTGATTTATTGGAGAGATGGGGTCTCGCCAAGTTACCTGGGCGGTCTCGAACCCGCGGGCTCAGGCCATCCACTCACCTCGGCCTCCCAAGGCGCGGGATTCCAGTCCGAGCCACCGAGCCCGGCCAGAGTCATTCTTGAGTTTCCTAGGTCTGCTGTAACAAGGTACCACAAACTGGGGGCTTGAAAGACATTTATTCTCGAGGCTAGAAGTTCTGAAATCAAGGTGTCAGCAGGACCAACCTCCCCCAAAAGGCTTTAGGACAGGATTCTTCCTATCTCTTTCTCACTTCTGGTGGCTGGTGGCAATTCTTGACATTCCTGCTTTTAGACGTAGCACTTCTGTTTCTGCCCCCATCAACATGTAGTGGTCGCACAGTGTCTGTGTCTCTGTGCCCCAAGTTCTCTCTTCTTACAAGGGCCCTGTTTTAAAATAAGGTCACGTTCACAGGCGGAGAGGGATAAGACTCAACACATATTTCTGGGAGACACAGTTTGACCCACTATCATTCTTTCAGGAAATAACCCTTTCTCAAAGGAAAATTATGCAACTGACTGCCTTTTTTTTTAACTTCTTCCACCTACCCCTTCCTGGTAGACACTAAGCAGGAAGACAAGGTCCTGGGCACCCAGCCTCACTGGTCTCTGAATCTTCACAAGGACGCCGCAGGATGGGCGTTTTCAACCCAGACTCACAGCGGAGGAAACTCAGGTCCAAATGGGACGTGAGTTCCCAGACAGCAAATGCATGGTGGCAAGAGATTCCAGACAAGTGAACAAGTGCCGGCGTCACTTCATGTCTCTGCTAACCCTTTGCTAGTTTTAGGTAGTACCAGCAAACCCATGAAGACAAGGACTAATTTAAGCATTACAGACATTTGCTTGTTCATTTCTTCACTATTTTTATCAAACGTGTATTATAAACTTGGCAAATACTGAGATGAACAGCAAAGCATTTCTCCTCTTGGGTTGCAGCATCTAGAAGAGAGCAGAGGAAAGTGCAGATAATCCCAAGGTGGGGCAGACAGATGTCTTAGAGGAGCTGGAACTTGAGCAAGGACTCGCAGCAGGACTGGGAACTTATGAGGCTGGAAAAGGGTGGAGGCCCAAGATCCAGCATCGCCCAAGGGGTGAGACGTCCTGCAGAGGTGAATGGGATGGGCTGAACACCAGTGTGTGGTTGAGGAAGTCAAGAAGTGAAGCTGAGCGTGTAGTGGGATCAGAACGTGAACGACTTTGATGGCGGTGAAGCCAGCAGGCTGAGCGTCCCTGTCCTGTCACTAGTTGTATGATCAGGTCACCTAAAGGCAAATCCCTTTCCAGGCAGAAAGGTCGGGGCCCAATGGCTGGGGCCGTCAGTTCCCGAAGCAGTCTCCTTGCTTTGGACTTCAAAAATAGCGAAACTAGGAAACTGCTCTTCCCTCTATGTGCCAGTCTGTTGCCAAGTCAGTTGGCCGCTTCCATAGCCAACTGATCAACCCTCTCTTCTCTGTATCTCTTGACTTTTTCACTTCTGGCTCTCTGCTGCCTCGACATCCGTGCAGAACCTTCTCAGAACATGCACGATGTCTAGGCTGTGCCCAGGACTCAATCCTTGGATGGATCTTACTCCACCATGAATTCTTCTTGTCCCAAGTAAGGGTCTTCCAACCCCTGGTCCTTCTCTCCTTAGGCTTCCTCGCCAGAAGAGGAATCTTTTGCCTCATGGGCTTGTGAGTTGTTAGGGCCTAGACTGTATTTCCCTAACTGTTTTTAATACACCTGCTGGGGCAAAGCAGAGACATGGAAGCAGTGAGTGCAGAGGTTAGGAGGAAAGGTTCTCGAACCCAGTGCTGCCGCTTACTAGTGCGGGGTTGCTGGCCATTCGCTTAGCCCCTTTGTGCCTTGGTTTCCCTGACTGTAAAATGGGGATAATAATAATGTGGGCAATCGTAATATGATAACAGTAAGAATTTCATCATGATAATAATTTCCTCATCGTCACATGATAATCATATGAATAATAAGAATGTCAAAACAGAAAATCTTGTTCTCTTTAGGTGTGCAGGATAGCACGAATTGGTACATCTTTTTAAAACACAGGGTCCAACCCATAATAGGAGGTCTGATTGGCTCTAATTAGCATCAAAAGCCAACAGAGTAGTTGCTTAAGAGTTCACAGCCACTTTTGCTCAACAGAGTACTGTAGTGCAGAAGTCCACACACTCCCTTTTCTAAGATCACCACTTTAGATGAACCCTCCTCCCACCCACACAGCCGTAACAGCTCTCTGATGTGTGTCCTGACGTCCTCTCCCGCTTTGCAGATCCGTCCTCCACCCACCAGTCAGAGCACTCGCTCCATAGTGCAGATCTGCTCTCATCACTCCTCTGCCTAACGCCCACCGGCGGCTCTTTAAGACTCACCTCATCCGGCCGGGCCTGTGCGGATCTCACACGCCGCTGTTTCCCCCACACGTGAACACGCCTCCCCATTTCTCTAGACTTTCAATTCAGTGTTTCCTGGATGTAGCACATCTTCCCAGGCCTCCATGTCCAAGCACGTGCGGGGCCACTTTTCCACCCTCACCCTCTTGGAAATCTACAGAATTCCTCCGTCTGCTCAAGTGCAACTTGTGACCTGAAGCCTCTGCCGAGTCTTTTCTGGGTTACCTTTCTCTCTTGTACTTATTTTATCCTTCTCTGTTCATCATAGTCATCATCAGACCTGCCCCAATTGGTCGCTTCCTCTTCCTTGGTAAGTTTTCTGCACCTGCTGTCCAGGGCTACACCTCTCAGGTTCTTCCCACCTCTCCTGCTTCTCCATCTCCATCGCTGGGTCCTCTCTCTCTTGACCTCTCAGGAATGCTGTGATCCAGGCTCAGCCTCTGGTTCTTTCCTTTCCTCCATTCTTCCTCTCTTAGCAGTTCCACCCGTTATGTGGCTTTAAAGACCATCTTTACTTTTGGACCAAGAAACGTGGAGTCAAATTTCACTTCTTGCTTTCCCACATGACCTATGTCCAAGGCATCAGGAAATCCTCTTCCCTCTAACTTCAAAATATACCCAGAATCTGGCCACTTCTCCCCATTTCCACTGCCGCCCACCTGGCTCAGACTGCTGAAATCGCTTCCTAGATGTGACACATTGCGGGGGACCCCAAAGTTGGGGTTCAGCCCAAGAGGCCAAGTGGGTTCTTGACTTTGCACAGGAAAGAATTCAAGAGTGAGCCGCCACCGTCTTAATAAATGAAAGTAAAGTCTATTCACCGATAAAAGGAACAGAGAGAAGGCTCCTCTACAGAGGAGTTTATCATGGGGTTTCAGCTGAAAAATGAAAGCAAGTGAACTGAAATAAAAGAGAGCAGACTATTCTGTAGGCAGAACAGCCCAGGCTTGTCTGCAGGAAGGTTGTCTACAGGCAACCCTGTATCGCTGAGGTCTTGTTTTTACAACTGTCTATGCTAGGCAAGGGGTGGAGTATTCATGGGTTTTCCGAGAAAGAGGTGGGGATTTCCAAGAACTGGCGCTCCTCTGCTGCTTGCTATAAGTGGGCAGGTTTGGAGCTTTCGTGGCACTGGAGAGTGTGTCACTTGGCGTGCTCACGTTTGATAACGAGTGCATAACGAAAGGCAAGGCCAGGCGGTGGACCAGTCCGCGCTGCCGTCTTGGTTCTGGCTGGCTCCATGTGGCTCCTGGCCACATCCTGTGTTTCTCTGCGGGGCTCAGAAAACCAGGCCAGCCACCAGTCCAGGGAAACTGGTCTAGCCACTAGTTTTGGAAAGGCGGCCTTGGGCAACACGGTTGGTTCCACGTTTATGGTCTTGTGAATAGAGCTGCAACAAACGTACGTGTGCAGGTATGTTTTTTGTAGAAGAATCTGAGTTCCTCTGAGTATATTCCCAAAAGGGGGATTGCTGGGTCCTATGGAAGGTCAATTTCTAGTCCTTTCAGAAATTGCCACACTGTCTTCCAAAGAGGTTGTACTAGTCTGCATTCCCACCAGCAGTGTAGAAGCGTTCCTTTTTCTCCACATCCTCACCCGCATCGAAGCCGGACTGGATAAAAAATGTGGTGCATATACACAATGGAATATTATGCAGCCATAAAGAAGGACAAATATATGGACTTTGCAGCA